AATATCTAGTATATGTATGAGTCAAGCGGAAAAGGTCAGATAATGTGATGTTAGGAAAATGAACCCTTAGATATGTATTTTAATGCTTTTTCTTTCATGCGTTTGTTTCTAATTCATTTATAAGATGATTTCTTTGTTGCTTTGTATGTTCCTCCCCCACAGTATAACCCCTTCTTTCACTATATTTGATGTCAGTATAACTTGTGGAGGAGATGGGGAAAAATAAGTCGTTTAAGGGTTCCGGTGGACCTGTTGCAACAATGAGAAGTACAAATTGTCATGTCAAAAATGAGCTTTACAATGTCGGTTGGGGGGGGAGGGAGAAAGGATTGGGGGGGAGCAGGGAGGCTGGGAAGGGAGGTGAAGGGTAAACAAAGGAGGAGGCTACAATGCTTGGTAAGAAATGTATGCATTATCCTGCCCATGTAATTGTAACCCCTCTGTACAGTATGTTCACAAATAAAATTAAAAATAAAAAATAAAATAAAATAAAAAATCAGTGGTTCTTTTCTACAGCAACAATGAGAAGAGAGAAACTGAAATTAGGAAATCAACTCCATTTGCAATATTCTCAAAAAAAAAATCCTAAGAATCTACCAAATAAGTGAAGGACCTCTACAATGAAAACTTCAAAAATGTTCTGCCATGTTTGTTTTGGTTCTGATTCTGAATTAATAAATTTGGCCACTCAATTTTAAGAAGACACTGAACTTTTAAAAGACTAATTGTAATACCCTTAATAATAAAAACAAGATTTTTCTTTTCTTGTTGTTTTTGCAGAACTGCAGATCAAAACTGGGTCCTTAGGCATTTTAGGAATATATTCTATCACTGAGCTTCGTCCCAAGCTCCCAGATAAATTAGTACAGAATTTAAGAGAAGTTATTGAGATTGTCTTTTTAAGAGACCTATTACAATAGTAATAAAGTTAAAACATGACAGCTCTTTTATTATACTTGTTGAGATTATTTTAATATGTTTTTCCCTTAAATCCTGAGTTGTGGCAAAAAGATACTTCTTTTTTCTTTTAAAGAAGAGATAGGTGAAATATCCCGTAAACATACCAAGCTTGTTATTCGAAAAAAAAGTCTGCCCAAATATTCAGTTGATTTAGTTTCCACAATGAATTTAGTAAATGTATTAGCTCCACATTTTACCACAATGTCCTCTCCTTTCATATCCTGAATAATGGAGACTCTCGGTAGTCTAAATCATACTGGTCCTATGTCTACCTTCTCGTGAGATACCACCAGTATTTGAATATAATTTCCAGCAAGTGACTGATCTGTAAAGATTTATAAAGAAAGCAAATGTTCCAGATCCCCTTTCTCTGTTCTCTTAAGCAAAGAATGACTTTCTTACTATATAGAAAACGCCTGAATTCCCATTAGAAAACTTTACAAGAAAGGCTTGGGAAAATCTGTTACTTACCTATCTTTGCAAGAGAGGCAAACATTATCCAGAGTGTGATCTCAAAGGGGACCTGCACATGATGGTAATCCAGGGAGAAGAATGTAGGACCAGACACCACGGAGCCATTATCCTGTGTTCCTTTTGGTTCCCACCTGACATTGTTTGTATGCAGGTCCTGTTCGTGCTGCCTATCATCCCCAGATGTTCCCAGGAGCAAGTTGCTGAGCTGCCAAAGCATTGGGGCCAACAGAAGCCCTATCCTACAGGCCATTACCAGCTCTGCCAGCTGAGTTTGCTGAAGTACTTTTAATAGCCTCCTCAGCCACCCTTGCTCAAATGTAGTTTGCTGACTGAATCCTTAGACCTGCTGGCTAGCACTTTAGTAAAAGTGCATACACTCAAGCAGCTGCCTGGAGTCACTGCAAAGAAATGTTTGTTGTTATCTCCTGGGATGAGATTAAAGCCTGAAGCCAGCAAAGCAGGAGCTGGAACAAATTCATTGATTGACATGCAAAATATTTTCGCCCCAGTTCTAATTTTCATGCAAGAAAAAAAACCACTGGGAACTGAATTCTGCCACTTGCCAATCTATTGTTCTTTTCTTGTTGTGAGGATTCTTCATTTCCTGTGAAGATAGGGGAAATGTCCAAGAAGATTGCTTAAATGTTTCAAAGACTATCAAGGGCTCTGCAAGCAAGAACATTGCTAGTGTATATTTTGCAGGAAAAGTATAAAAGCACAACTCCCTCTTTACAAAGAGAAAGTGGAATGGATTAAACAAAACAAATCAGCTACTCTTTTTTTTGCCAGTCCTGGGTCTTGAACTCAGGGCCTGGGCACCGTCCCTGAACTTCTTTTGTTCAAGGCTAGCACTCTACCACTTGAGCAATAGCACAACTTCCAACTTTTTCTCTTTATGTAGTACTGAGGAATAAAACTCAGGGCTTCACGCATGCCAAGCAACACTCTGCCACTAAGCCACATTCCCATTCCCTCTGCTACTTTTTAAATTCTTTATTCTGACCTAGTAAGCATAGAGCAACATTATTATTTCATCCTACTTCTTTATCACCTGTGCAATATATTTTGATAGAGCCTTCAGAATAGGTCAACAAGCTTGGCATCATGTTACACATGATGGTAAACTAGGAAGAAACTTGGGAAACTGAAGCAGCAGTAGCTAGACTTTGAAACCAGGCAACAGTACACCACACTATGCTGTGCACCACTATGCTGCAAGACCTCTTACAAAAGTCACAGCTATTTCCACTTCTAGTTGATGAATATCATGTTTATTTTATTTCTTAGTAAATGACTCACATTTCACCATAGCAAACACATACTGCTTTGATGAATACAAAACAATAAAATTTAACCAGTAGTGTTGACATTTAGAACACTTGTAAATCCTTCTGTATCTTTCATTTATATTTTATTATTCTCAATTTCATGGAGATATAATTGCAAATAAAAATTATATTCACAGTGCATCATGAGGTGTTTTAACATATCTTTACATTGTGAAGTGGTTTCCACAATCAAGCTAGTTAATACATTTATACATGTAAATACATACATACAAATCTTAATGCCCACTAAACAACATGGTGGATTTTATTGAATATTACTGCATGAGTATCCTACATCTTTTATCTATCCTGTATTATAAAGTCCTCTATTTGTTAATATTGTCTCTTCTGTATAAGTTTATTATCTTTTTAGCTTCTAAAATTATAGAGTATAACAAGATACAGAAAATAAGGCAATGCTTGTAGTAAGTACCTAATGAAAAACTCATAGGAGATGATAATTATATTTTGAAAATGATCTATACTAATAACATCCTGGAAAATATGAATATCTGTGATAACAAGAAAGTTATTCTTTCTTGCTTTTTACTGTAATCAGAATGCTTTTAAATTACACATTAAACATGGGAATTTTTTCTTGATTTCCAAGTAAACAGAGAGGTAGATATTAAATAATAAGAACCAAAATAAGTAAATATTTTACAAACTAGAATGTCTGTTAATAGCATGGCTGACTATTCAAAGAGAACACAGATAATTAAAATATGAGAGCCTTAGGCTATTACATAAATCAATGACCCATTTTTTTCTTAGCTATGTAAACACCATCCAGCCTAAAAGTTAATGATCAATCAATGACCCACTTTTCAACAAACAGAGAAAATTTTTGTAGACACAAACTCCCCAATGCAAGTATTTTTGTTTTGTTTAATTTTATTTAAGCCAGAATCTCACTAAGTAGCCAAGCTGGTAGAGAACTCACTGTGGACCCTGAGACTGGCCTCAAACTTGTAACCCTGTTGCCTTTGCTTCCTGAGCACTGGGATTATATTTGTATACCACCATACCCAATTTGTGTATTTGATTTTGATATGTCAACAAGAAGCCTTTCTCGCAAAAATGAATGTACTTTTTTTTGGGGGGGGGCGTCCGGTTGTGAGGCCTGAACTCTGGGCCTGGGCGCTGTCCCTCAGCTCTTCAGCTCAAGGCTAGTGCTCTACAAATTGAGCTACAGCACCACTTCTGGCTTTTTTCTTTTTGCATATGTGGTGCTGAGGAATCGAACCAAGAGCCTCAGGCATGCAAGGCACACGCTCTACCACTGAGCCACCTTCCCAGCCCTAATGTACTTTATTATTATTATTTTTTGTCAGTTGTGGGGCTTGAACTCGGCCTGGGCGCTGTTCCTGAGCTCTACCACGTGAGCCACAGAGTCACTTCCAGTTTTCTAGTGGTTAATTGGAGATGAGTCTTAGGGACTTTCCTGCCAGGACTGGCTTTGAACTGTGATCCTCAGATCTCAGCCTCCTGAATAGCTAAGATTGCAGGCATAAACAACCAGCACCTGGCTTTTTAAAACTTTTTAAAAGTGAGGTATCATTTGAAAACCTGAGAGGATAAAAATTAATTTTCCTCTAAAGTACCTTATTTGCGGTTTCACTTAGCATTCACTTTACTTTTTTTAATCAGTTTTTTATTGTGAAAATACTGTACAGAAGGGTTACAGTTACATGAGCAAGGTAATGAGTACATTTATTATCAAGCATTGTTGCCTCCTCCTTTGTTTTTCCCCTTACCATCCCTTCTCTCCCACCTCCACAACTACACTCCCCCGCCCCAAATCACTTTTACTTTTAGAACAGATACTGCTAATTTTACCCTAACTACTATGGTCAGTGCGGCGAATGCCTTCTCAGCCAGCGAGGAAGAACGACCACCACACCAGGAGTCTTCTCAGATCACACTTTATTGGAGAGCTTTTGAGTTGATAGGAGGGCTTGAGCGAGAGACCCCGTGTACAGAAACGTGGCCGCTTATATATGGAATAGGAACACGGGTCGTTCTATCATTGGTCGTCTGCCTTTCACCGTCACCAGGTGCCACGGGATTGGCTGGGGACTCTACGTGGCTCGCGCATGCGCAAAGCCCGGGACCCACAGTCCCGCCAAACACTGCCTAATATGGAGTTGTTTACCTCAAAGCTGCAAGGAAGTGGGCGCCATCTTGTAATGGCGTTCACCCTGGCTCCCCGCAGGTCAGTATTTATTTTCTAAATTTCCATCAAAGCAAATACTGGAAACTACCTAAGGCATGGAAAATTCACTAGTCCTATACCCATTTATCTCTATCCAAATTTTTTTGTCAGAATTAATCAATGTTATAATTTTAGGATCTATAGAAGGCCATTTCATGAAAAATGTGGTTCTCCTTTCTTTCACTGATGTTACATCAATTGTAATTTATATGTTACAGTAAATAAAATTCACTTTTTATTGCCAAGTAAGTCTCCATTATGTGACTATAATACAATTTGTTCATACATTTTCAGGTTGAAGGACATTTGAATTGTTCCTGGATTTGGGGATTTTTTTATTGTATTTTATTTCATTTAAGAAGATGCACAAAGGGTTTCAATCCAACGTGTCAAACAATGTATTAATTTTATATCCCACTGTCATTAAAATTTACATAATGTAAATAGGTAAGAAGATAATTGTGGGGGTAAATTTATAGTAAGGAATAAATGACTGAAGTCACAAGGACTTGATAGATTTTCAACAGTGGACTACTATTCAAGCTATCTGACCTCTACTACCATTATTGGATATTACATTTTGACTTTAGACAGTTTATTCAAACTTTAAGAGCTCTTTCCTTCTCTTTAAAAATGAGGTTTTTAATGTAGTTTAAAAAATTGTGAGTATCTGCTAGCACCAGCAACAAAACTATAGCTGTTGACATGAGAGATAATATGCCTCCCTTGCAATCAATGATCTGAGGCTTCAGTGAATAAGAAAGAGGCATGCAAAAAAGTAAGGACATTAAAGTATAATACTCCAGTTCATTCAAGAATAACCACCTAACCAAAAGTTATCTATTTGAAAGCCTACTTTGTATTGGTTAAGAATAAAACATAAAACAAACAAAAATAAGGAAGTGGCGCTGTGGCTCAAGCCTTAGAGTGCTTGTCTTCAACTGAAGAGCTGAGGGATAGCTCCCAGGCCCAGAGTTCAAGCCCCATGACCAACAAAACAAACAAACAAAGAATAAAACACAATACTGAGACACTTTATTTAGTTGTGGTTTTCATAGCATAGACAAGTATGAGATATTGATAAAAAATGAGGAATTCTAAATTAGAATAATTAGAGATATAGGGAGCTTATAGCACAGGGAAACACATAATAAGAACTAAAAGAAAAAAGAAAAGAAAACTTCTCAGAAAAATATCTATTGATTAGTTGACACCCAAAGGAAGAAAGGCTGAAGAAAAAAAGCAAAATTACACTGGCAAAGCAAAATAGCAACATTTGTCCAGAGAAAGGCATATAAATCCCCGAGATGAAAAAAAAATGCCTGCATTCCAAATGAGTGGCATGAATAGATTATGAGAACCATTGAGAATATGATGTCAACTTGATATCAGAAAAGGATAATAAAAACACAGTTGACAGATCCAAAATATTGGCAATAATTGAAGAAGTGCAAATCAAAGCTACATTGACATTCTTTCTCACACTAGCCAGAATGGCCATTATCAAAATAACAAAAATAAATTAAAATATTGGTAAGAATATGGGGGAAAATAAACATTTATACAGTCCTGGTGGGAATGTAAATTAGTATGGCCACCATGGAAATCAAATGCATTTTATCACAGAACTAAAATATTAAAGTACTGTATGATCCAATTATACTATTACTGAGG